TTTTTCTTGTGTTTCTTGTGAATTTGGTCTTAAATTTTTATTTCAAGTGGCATTAAAAAGTCTTGAATTTAACTTGCCTTATGCTGTAGGAACCCTTCACAGAATATTTTTACATATTGAATTCCTGACACTGAATTTTTATCTGGTGAAAATTCAGCTGCAAAGAAATTCGACTGCAAATGTGTTGACCTTTTGGTGAACTCAAACCAACCAATGAAATTAGCTCATTTGGTTAGAAAAAAAAAAACTAGATGAAATTAGATGAAAAATTAGATGAAAAACTCTAATGACTGTCTATTTGTAGCTACCTGACGTTTTATAATCATATCTATTTAGAAAGAAAAAACTCCTCATTCAGCTTCATTCAGCCGGGAACAAAGCTATGTCCAACTGTTGGGTCATGTGATCAAATGAGCTAATTTCATTGGCTAGAGGCTGCTCAAGAGCATGGAGTGTAGATTGCTTTGGCTTGAGTTCACCAGATAGGTCAACACATTTGCATTTTGAAATTTATTTATTTATTTTTTTTGCAGGTGAATTTTTACCAGATAAAAATTCAGAGTAAGGAATTAAATATGTAAAAAATTCAGCGTTTAAAATTCAGTGTTTAAAAAAAAAAGGCAGATTCCAATGAGACTGTTTTTCTTCCATAAAAGACTGTTTAAAGTGACACTGAAGCATCTTTCAGTCATTGTAATGACTAAGTTAAGTTAATTAAGTTAAACACCAGATTTTAGACTAAATTGATATAACATATTTGGTGTATAAAGCCAGGCATACGCTGTATGATTTTTTTTGCCCTTTTCAGGCCAACTTTGCAGTCGTGTGAGAATTTTTCAAACAACTTTCAGCCTGATCGTTCATGATGTAGTGTACAGGGGGTAACGAGGGGCGATCAGCCTCTCGGGATCACCTCCCGATCAGGAATCGTAAGGTTGGGAGAAAATCAAACAACGTTTGAAATTCAGTCGGCCGTCGTGGGAAAATCTCTCAGTGGGCAAACAAGGATTCTTCTTTCTCTGATGAAAACACAGAGGCATGGCGGGAGTGCGAGTGAATAAAGTTCTTTCTGTAAAATTGACAGACCGTAGAAACCATGTTTGCTCAGCCATGTCTTTGTCGAAATACGTCATCTCCTTTTCTTTTTAGGGGTTTAAGCGCACAAAATTGCACAAATTCCCAAGGCATATTCCTGTTCTACTCGTTTGGCTTCCGGATAAACGAGTCCCAAGTAGCGCGATCTCACTGCGGATGTGGTTTTTAGTTGTACAGTGTGAGCAGGTAGATCGCATCAGAACATCGGGCCACACAGTGTGAGAACAAACATCTTGAGCTGTGAGCTCACACTGTATGAGGAAACCCTGCAGTAGAGGGAGGAAGAGTAATCCACAGATTACTCTTCCTCCCTCTACCTGCAGGGGTCATAATGTTTTGACTTCAAGCTTTAATTGTTATAAAGGTTATGTTAACAAATTAGATTAATTTAAAGTAGGAAAACACTTTATTACCAGAGTAAATGGAAAAAGAAGCTGAAGACCTAAGCAGGTTTGTGTGTTTTTCCCAGACATACTAGAGGACATGAAGGAGGAGTGCCAGAAGTACGGCTCTGTGGTTTCTCTGCTCATTCCTAAGGAGAACCCTGGAAAAGGGCAGGTAAGAGCATTTCCTGCCCATTCAGTGAGACTCCAGAAGGCATTTTATCAGAGTTTATACATTAGGATACATTTAGGATTAAACAGTGAGCTGAGAACACATGGCGCCAAAAAGTAGGTCTGCAGCGTATGCAACACATAGGGGCGCTGCACATAACCCCCTGTAGAGACGTGTTTTTCTAGTTGGCATCTTCTATATTTAACAGTATAAAACTGGTTTACTGGTTGACGATTTTCTTTATTCGGACCCCGCTGATTTTTACCCCTGCTTTAAATCCTCCCCCTTTTCCAGGTGTTTGTTGAGTACGCCAACTCCAGCGACTCCAAAGAAGCTCAGCGGCTGCTGACGGGGCGCACCTTCGACGGGCGCTTCGTGGTGGCCACCTTCTACCCGCTGAGCGCCTACAGAAGAGGTTACCTCTACCAGACGGTGCAGTGAAGATCATTTCAGACCACTGGGTGGGGGGGTGTTTCCAACCTCTTGAAGCTGATCATAATGCCTCCTCTGTAGGATTATAATAGTAATTCTACTTAAACTGAGACTATTTAACGTTGGAGACGACATATTTGCTGCTGAAATTCTAGTCATCTGTGTTCAGCTTTCCTGTGGTTTAGCAACCAGCTGCGACGCTTCCAGGCCGCGTGGCTGACGTTTCACTGAAGCACAAAGAGAGCCGACCGTCTGCTTAAAGCGTGTATCCATCAGCAGAGCGGCGAGGAGCCTGCAGAGGGAGGAGCATGTTGAAAACGCTCCTTTGAAGTGTTTCTATGTGTTTTCAGACGCTTTTTATCATCAAACTATAATCCTGAGAAGGAAGCATGTCGCCTCTGTGGAGGCTGTTTATTTCAGCTGTTTGAGGCCTGGTAGCAGGTGATTCTGCTGCCCCCCTCTGGCTGCTTTGAGGAAGTGGCTCTTCCGTCAGGATTAGCAGTAGAACAAGCCTGCTGCTGCTGCTGCTGCTGCTTATCTTAGCAAACCACAGCCTGTTCTGTAGCTTCTCATTGACTGTGCTTCCACTCATGAAAGCATGGCTTCATGTTTTTATTGTAGCTCTGAATGAGATTTCAGGTCCCTTCCTGAATTGTTGCTTCCTCCACTGTCTGGGGAAAAGAAAGGCTTTGATTTCTCTGTTTCTGATGAGGATGGATATAGAAAGTAGAGGATTTTTTTTTATTTTATTCCCTCCTGTCTACCTTCTATTCATCCTTCTATCCTACCTCCCCTTTCCTCCCTCAGTCACCTTTCTATCCTTGCTACCTTCCTCCTGTCCTTCCTTTGTTTGTTTCCTCCTTAAATCAGATGCTGACCTAAACTAGATATTTCTAGATTCATTTTTATCAGACTTTTTTGTTGGGATTTGTTGTTTTTTTTTTGTGTTGATGCTGCTCCAGTTCAGCTGAGTTTCTGTTGGTGGTTCAGGTTCAGGTTCTGCTGAAGCGGCTGTGAGGAGAAACCTGACTGATGGTTTGGGTTTAACTGTCTGAGTCACAGCGCTGTTGAGTGGAAAACTAGAGTTTTGTTCTTGTTTTAGTGTTTATTCACCTAGATTAGTCTGGATAAAATGAAGCTGGGTAGCTTCTTTTTTTTTTTTTTTTTGCAGCGTTTTTGACTTCCTGAGTTCTTCATGTTTCAGTTCTACTTTGTGATAGGTTTCCATGGTGACCACCAGCCTCTTTAACCTTTAAGCTGCTGCTTTGGCAACAGGAAATAAAGTTTGTTTGTCCCTTTAACAGCACTACTGAAAAACTTCAGTTTCTAATAGAATTAAATTGAAGAACTGAAAAAAAAAATCCCTACAAATGAAGAGAAGCAGCTTTGGAGTCGGCAGACTCTGCTCTCTGATCTGTAACCTTTCATCCCTTCTGCTCCAGAAGACGTTCTCTAATCTGCCTAGCAACAAGCCTCAGTTTATGTTAATCTGTTTGGAAATCACCAGATTGATCTTCCTTTATCAGTTTGTCTAAATATTTCTATCTGCTGGGAAGGTTTAGGATGAACATGAAGGTGATGTGACGAAAGTCCAGCATGTTTAAACTGGGCGTCAGGCAGGCGCCGCTGGATGGCTTTTTCTAATAGATTTCTGATCAAATAGGAGAAGGAAAGCTGCCCGCCGTTTAGATGCTAACAGATGAGCAGAAACTAGTAATCAGTCAAAGAGAGGAACCTGGAAATGGAAAGGAGATTTTCCATTAAGTTTACAGGCTGGAGGCGACGCCTTTTCTGCTTTCTTTGTTGTGTTGCTCCTTTATCTCATTTTCCCTGCTTGGTTTAACCTCGATGGTTCGTTAATGAGTGAGAAAAATGCTCAGGTTTAAGCGAACATGCATCCAAAGTGAAGTGCTGCTTCTTTTAGCAGTGATTCTTTGCCGAAGTTCAGACCTGAATGTTTAGGTTTTAGATGCACAACATGCAAAAGAGAGGGGAAATATACATCTATAATATAAATCAACATTTTCTTTAAATGGCCTTTTTGCTTCTAAAAGATAAAAAGTTGATAAGTGTTTTTTTTTTTTGTTTTTTTTATAAATGTAAATTATTATTATGGGCCTGAAAAATCAGCTCCTGTTTTATTACTAATTAGTCTGTGAACTGAAACTTCTTAAATTGTAGCTTGAATTCAGAACTGTTACCACAATAACAAGATGTCTGCAAAATTATTGCCTTAAGCAATACAGATATAAAAATGCAAACGCACCCATTCAGAGATTTTTAGAGAACATTCAACACTGGAACTGGAAAACTTTTTTAAATATCCCAGATAAATCATCAACAAAAAAACAAATGAAACAGACATTTAGTCTGTGCAGAAAAGAAAAAATTAAATTCAATAAAACTGAACAAGTTCATAGTAAAGTGAAACAATCAAAGGAAATGTGTAAACACTGCATTTAAAATGAAAAAAAAAAACTTTTTTGCTTTAATTTGGTATAAAATCTTCTCTAAGACTGTTTTCTACTCCTGCATGTGCCAGAATATTGGGTGCAGCTGAGAAAAACACAAAGCTCTGCGCTGATGTAGATGTTTCTCGTAGATAAGCAGCCTTTAGCCTCAGACTCTCTGAGGCCGGCAGCGAGGCCATGCTACCGGATGCTATTGCTAGCTCCTCACTACACAGAGAGGGGGGACAGATGCTGAGGCACCTGAAGAGAATTGATGAAATATTATAGGATTAGTAGATTAATTGCTTTTTGCAACCGACTTACTTTAAATACATCCGGCCGATGCGTCTGTCTGTAGTCTAAATACTTTGCTTTCTGGTAGATAAATCTTATTCTCCTTCACTCAGCAACAACATCCCCACTAAGAGGGGCGCTGATTTGGAAATGCTGAAATAAAATGTGATCAAACTGCTGCTTTATTTATCAGAAGAGCAGAATGAATGGAATAGAAAACAGGCTGCAGGTAGGAAAGGAAAGGAGCCACCAAACCAAATGACTCCATTGGTTCAGTTAAAAATAAATACTGCATCATCTAGATGGCGAAACTTAGAGAATGTATTTCTGTCTGTTTACTGAAGCTTTAAAGGAAAGACGTCACATCTTGCACTAAGAGTCCAACCAGTTCATTCTGGTTTGCTTATTTTGCCGTTTTAGTTCCGCCAGATCCAGGTTAGTCTGATAAACAGTATCCTGGTTTGGTTTCATCATTAATGGTTCATGTTTGCTCTGAACCCGTGGCTCAGATTATAAACCTGCCTGCAAACATGGACGATGTGGAGCAGCTCTTGAACTTTTCACCTTTTAACATTCAGAGCTGGTTAGAAGTGACACTCAGTAAAAGCATAAAAGTGACTGAAAAAAAAGTGCTATTTATTTGTAACATTCATGTAGTAACACTGCACTGCTATAAGATATATATATATAGATATATAGATATTTTTTTTAGCTGGTTTGTAGATGTAGGATCCCCAGAGGGGCCCCGACCCCTGCTTAGGGACCCCACTAATGTTTAATGGCTTTAACTCTCACTCTGAGTTTGAGATGTTAGTGAGATAATGTGAACCCAAACCTGCCTTTTATCTTTTTCTGCATAAACAGGAAACATGCTTTAAGGTCAGGTCCCTCCTTGGAACAAACCAAAGTGTCGTAACCAGTGAGGGTTTAGACGCTCAGCTGTGGGACAGAAAGATTAACTCGTCTCAAACACTAAGGGACGATCACAGCAAACTGGGAGGCAGCGAACTTTTTACAGTGGTGCATCCAGCTTTGGTTGATTCACATTTCAACATCCTGTTGCAAAAGATCAGCTTGTATGGCAAGCTGTTTAACATTTATTCAGAAAGTTTAACTATCTGGATTTACTTTCATTAACTCTTACAAATAAAAACTGTTGAGGTTATCTTAAAAAAAAATTATGCTAACCGTTTGAGTAAATGTAGCTAAATTTTATTAGTAAAGTGTATCTCATTTCAGTATCTAACAAACTAAGAAAAACTACTCAAACTTACTAATTTCAATACAGATAAAACTCAGGCTGGTGTTAAACTCAACCTCCATGTTGGAAGGCAGCCGTGTTGCACACTGCGCCATCATCAGGCTGTTACCCTGCTCTTTGAACAGTTTGGAATGTGATTGACTATCCGTCTGAAACAAGATCGCTGACTTTTCAAACAGGGAAAAATAATCTGCCGTCTTTAGA